GGGATCAAAGTACATGCCATCTCTCCCAACAGACTGGTTAACACAAACCCTGGAAAACAAGCAAGACTTGGAAACAATGGGGTTACCTGAACTGACTCAACACAAATTTCAATAATTCCCTCCTGTGGTGCTAACCATACTCATGGTGCAGCACCACAGTTAGACCTTTATCTGTCCTCCATCCTCAGCTGCAGCATACCAATCTCTGTTGCCTGTAAATGTGGCATTTGGCATGGGGAACAGTTCTTAACACTGAGGGAGGAACTGTAAACATAAACAACATACAGTCCCTATGAGGACACACAAGGGAAAACCCACAGATACTTTAGCTGATGAAAAGTTCTGTACCCCAAAACATCTCTAGTCATAGACTTTGGCAGTTCAATATAGTCACTCTGCAGGTATTCACGTGTGCAAATGGTAAGGTGCCCTCTTTCGCCCTGCTTTTATCACAGTTTCCCTCTAAGAGGAGGGAAAGGCTGCTAGAAACTGCACAAAAGGGCCTCTGCATAACCACCACAGGCAAACCATCACCAGCAAACGTACAGTACAAGGTCCTTAGTTCCTGCAGTGTTATCAATCCAAGGAAGAATGTTAAGCAGCTTACAGACAAGGTAACAGATCCATAATATGCACATAACTAACATAACAATCAAAGTTACAACAGGAGAATAAAGGAATCCAATATGGCAGTAGATTTAGGGATGCTGAGTCCGTTAGCAGTGTCCATGATCTTCAGGGGTCTGGCAAACACTTTCTGTGCATCTCTCAAACAGTTACATATGGATTAGGACAAGCCTGAGGAGGCATTTACTCAACCATCTTCAGATCTTAGGTCACTTGTGGAGATCCTCTAGACAATACTGCTAAAACCAGCTAGCGATAAAACTTAGTATCATTTAGTAGATCATAACTAAATCTAATCAGATTGAGCTTCCAGTAATTAGTTCATGTGGTGAATACTCTTTTGGACTTTGTGGAATAATTCTAATAACAATAGGGCATTAAGAACACCACCAAATTAGGAACTCATAATTCACCTGAAACTTCAGAGAATTTCAGTTTTTTACATAGCACTTGCACCTTCTACCTTCACCCAAACCTTGTGTCTGATATGGACAATTCTATCAACAGAATGAAAGCAAAATTTAAAATTTTTAAAAATCTGCCCCTTAATGTTATCAGACAAACTTCAAAATAGGGAAATGATGGCTTAAAATATCTTTACAATGCAGTTCTATATATAAAATCCTTAATTTAATTTTTACAACTTATTTCTAAAACATAGTCAAAATCAGTATGTCACATTTTGAAACATTTTAAAGGGTCTTCATTTACACACACATGCACACACACACACACCCCAATCCTTACATTTCTGACAGCTTAATCGTGTTTCTTTCTCAAAGTTTACTAGCCCAGTAAATTTTTTATTATTTTTTTAAAACACATTTATGTCTTCACTTTATTCCTTTCTTTGAGGATATACATCTTATCTTCATATCATCTTGAAAGAGTAAAATATAACTATTAGCAAGGGGGTGGCAAATCTCAGAACTCATTTACTTAGATGCTCAGGATATGGGATTGACCACAAATTCAGATTAAATAATAAGAACTTTCATACTTACATCCTATTATAGTAAGTTAGATGTTTTAGTATTAATATGCTAATTAATAGATTTTTGTATTGCAATGACAAAACTTCCACTGTTCACCTGCCATGATAATAGAAAGCTGCTATGAAAGGGAAAAGTAGGAACATGGTTATGATATCAACACTAATCTGACAAAAGCCATAATGGAGAAAATTCCCTTATCTCTATTTGATTCTGGGTATGAGTCATATTCAACAGCCAGTCATTCAGCACATTTCCACATTTATTCACAGAGTATCAAAAGCAAAGTTTAGAATTAACCAGGTGGGAAAATTTCCTGTTCAGAAAGAAATAGCACAATGGGAAACTGAGTCAAGAGGGTTGTTCCTTTGTCTACACAGGGTCCCTCAACTTTTCCCAGGTACAGTACATGACACCTCTCCCAACAGACTGGTTGACACATACCTGAAAGATAAGCAAGAATGGAAAAATGGATTCGCTTGAACTGACTTAATACAAATTTGAGTAATAGGATTACTAGAATGTTAAATTAGGGGGATGCTTTAAGGGTGGTAGATTTGGACTTAGGGCCACAAGAACATAAATTCACACGTGGAGGAGACCTTAAAGATTATTAAGTATAAACCATAATTTTATAGATGAGGAAACTGAGGCTTGATAGAGGATAAAGGACTTGTCCAAGCTCATATATTTGATGGTAAAGCCAAGACTCCGACCCAAGTACTTTGACTCCAGAGCCATCACTCTTAGCATTACATCACTATGGTATGCAACTAAACAGTTTCATCTTATGCAAAAAATGAATAAATGTGATCAGTTTCAGTAACTGAGATTTAGAACTCACTGCACTTTGGGTATAAGCATACCTAAAGAATTTTGATTAGTAGATTGCTATCAACCTGCAGAGCAGTGGTTCTCAGACTTTTTGGTCCCAGGTCAGTCTTACTCTATTAAAAATTACTGAGAACCTCCAAGAGCTTTGTTTATGTAGTTTATATCTATCAATATTTAAACCATGTTAGAAATTTAAACATAAATTTTGAAAAAAAATTAATTCATTTAAAAATAGCAACCTATTACACGTAAATATAAATAACATTTTAATGAAAATGTCTCTATTTTCTAATTAGTGAAAAGATTGGTGTTATAACTATAAGCTTTATATCGTTTGATGTTATAGTTCGAGATTGTAATTATAATGATGAGACTCCAATACGGAGTCACTTAGACTAAGTGATCCTAATGCCCATAAAAGTATAAAGGCTAAGTCACCCAAGTTGGTACTTTTTCACTGTTCTTATCTATGTTAACTCTGTGTCAAACGGATAAACCTTTCAGCTTTTGAGTGGATGAACCTCTTCAGGGGTCCTGAGTCATTCTGCTGCTGCCTTAGATAGTTAGCTGTTTGTGGTCTAGATAAAGAAATTCCCCTCACTTGAGCTTCACCTAAGCTTGATATTTATAAGTGAGCCTGAGGACTTCTCTACCACATCTGGATCTGATTAATCAGGAAAGCCCTTGCCTACATTTGGCACCAATTACATGTTCTCAAGCAACCCTATTCTTAGGGTACATGGTTTTGCCACCCAAACCCCAACTTTGAGCTTGTTTTCTCCCTCCCCCTCATTCTGGGTGAGTTTCTTGCAGCCAGGGGACAAATGTCTCTGTTTATATTACTATATACTATGTGTTTAATATGCTTTTATTTGCTTGCTGTGTTGCATGATAATAAAGCTTTTGTTTATATCAGCTTCCTGATTACCAATTTCCTGGAAATTCTGGAACCTGAGTCTTTGCTTTAACCTGAATAGTGAGGCCAAATAAAGCAAGTGGCACTGTTTTACATATTTTTGCAAATCTCTTTACTATCTGTCTTAATAGAAGAGAGCTATATTCTCATACCTGCTTCTGCATTCAATCCATGTAAAATGTTGTTTTGATTTAAATATATGAAGATAATCCAGCCTCACACAGATATGTAGTTGGAAAAAGGAAGAGCATTTTAGGCAAATAGCATCTTCATATTATTTTGAAAATAGTTTTTGACCTCATGGATGCCTGGAAACACTCTTGGGTACTCCCCCAAACACTACTTGGAGCACATTTTAAGAACTGCTACTATAGAGAAACCTCTACTAGCATATCCATGGGATTCTGTTCTTGTCCTGTTCTGTTAATTTTTGTAAAGACATTGGTGACATACTTATCAATTTAAGTATACATGAAGCTGGGAAGGATAGATAATATGTTAGAATGTGGAATCAAGATCTCAAATTTCTTACACTTAGGCTCTAAAACTAAACTGCATAGGTACGGATTTGGCTAGGCCACATCCTCATGAATAAAAACTTAGAAGGCTCTGAGTGCAAGTTTAGAATAAGTCAACAGTATGATACAGCTGACAAAATTACTAATTTGATCTTGAGTTTCATTAGAAAAAGTATAATTTCCACAATTATGGAGATGCTATTTTATTCTGAAGTAGGACAACCACATCTGGAGTATTTTTAGAAAGAAAGAGATATTGATGAGTAAGAGTGTATCCAAAGGGGAATAACAATGATCAGACTCAAAAATAAATCATATGAGGAATAGTTGAAAGAACTGAAGATATTTAGCTTGTAGAAAATAAAAATTGGGCAAGGGAGAGGGATGTGATTTTGTCTTCAAATATTTGAAGGACTTCCAATATTTGTCATGTTAGATATATACGTTTTACTCGTTGTGGATCTAAAGGGTAAAAACTAAAAACTAGTGCCAATAGGTAAAAGTTATAGGCAAGCAGATTTTTGGCTCAATCCCAAGGAAGAACTTAACAATCAGGGTGGTTCAAATATGGAATGAACTACCTCATGAGTTTCCTTTAGTGTAGGTACTAGGCACTGGATTTACTAAGACTTGGGGACCTTATAGAAGTCATTCAAGCACAAGGTGGAGATTCGGCTAGCTAAACTCTAGTATCCTTTCCAATTAAAAGATTCTAGGCAGGATTGTCTTAAGGATGAAGAATGGATGTAATTATCTTAGGAGGTCCATTTTAAAGGTATCATTTAGTTTCTAACTTTAAGTGTTAGCTTCTAGCCTGAGTGCACATTTACTTAAACATAAAAGAGAATAAACAACTATTTAATGGAGATAGGACAACAATCATTGTCTATTCTGTGATAGAAAATTCTGCAAAAAATTCTATTTTCAGAAGATGAAATGTTGAATCCTTACAGTGGTTTACTCTTGGGCATTCTTTTGATCCTACTATAAAAATGTAAATTACATAGATTTTCAATGGGAGTATACAACTTTTACCCCAAATCTCAAACTATATTCATAGTAACTTGTGCCATAACAGACCCTGACATCCATTTGTTTTGCTTGCCTTACTAGCTTACAAAGACCACCGTTTCATGTATTCTCGAATAGGAGGTGTCAGATCTCTTCAGAAGCATGCAGAAATTCTGCCTGTGGAGGACTATGACAACACTTTGATATTTGAAGCCAGGTTTGAGAGTGGTAATCTGCAAAAGGTGGTCAAAGTGTAGGTTTTAAAATTCCTTTGATTTGAGGAGCTAGGACATCAGCTAGCTTTAGGCACTTCTTTGGTATGGTCTCCAGTGACTAATGCAATGGTCTGCACATGTTAAAATCAAATTTCCCAAAGAGCATTTTGAGTCAGTTGGTCAATAAACATTTATTAAGCAGCTGCTTTGTGCCAGGCACTGGATTATGCCCTGAAGATATAGAGAAAGGTAAAAGACAGTCCCTTCTTTCAAGGAGCTCACAATCTAATGGGGAGACAATATATAAACAACTGTGTACAAACAAGCTATATTCAGGATAAATTGGAAGTGATCAACAGAGACAAGGCATAATTAAGAGGGACTAGGATTGGCTTCCTATAGAAAGTGGGATTTTAGCTGGACCTTGAAAGAAGCTAGGGAAGCCAAGAGGTGGTAATGAGAAGGGAGAACATGCTAGGCATGGGGTTCAGCCAGTGAAAAACCCAGAACTAGAGGTGGAATGTCTTGTTTAAGGAGCAGCAAGGAGGCTGGTGTCACTGGATCCTAGAGTACATGTGTAAAGTGTGAGAAAATTGGAAAGCTTGAGGAGGAGCTTATGAAGTGCTTTGGGTTTTTTTTTTTAACATTTGATCCTGGAGGTGATAGGGAGTTGCTGGCATTTATTGAGGGGGTGGTAGTGATGATGACATGGTCAGACCTGCTCTTTGGGAAGATCACTTTGACAGCTGAAGGGAGGGTAGACTAGAGTGGAGAGAGACTTGTAGCACAAAGACCAACTAGTAACCTCTGAAAATAATCCAGATAAGAGGAGATCCAAGACCTACAACAGGGTGGTGGTAGTGTCAGAGGACAGAAGGAAGCATACAGAGGTGTAATAAAGGTAAAATTGGCAAGCCTTGGCAAGAAATTGGATGTGGGAGGTGGGGTGGGGTGGGGGGTAGAGTGGTGAGAAAGAATCAGGCATTGAAGATGACACCCTAGTTTCAAGGTGACTGGTTGGATGGTAGTGTTCTTAAGAGTAATAAGGAAGTTAGGAAAGAAGAAGGGTTTGGGGGGGAAAGAGGATAAGTTCAGTTTTAGACATGTTGAGTTTAAGATACCTACAAGACATTCATTTTGAGGTATCCAGTAGACAGCTGGAGACACAAGACTGGAAGTCAGCAGAGGTGAGGCATCAGCATAGAGATAATGAACCCATGAGAGCTAATAAAATCACTAAGTGACATACTATAGATAAAGAAGAGAAAAGGGTCTAAGGTAGAGCCCCCCTGGGACATTCATGGTTAGTAAGTGTGGTCTGGATGAAGATCCAGCAAAGTAGATTGAGAAGGAATGATCAGATAAGTAGCAGGAGAACCAGGAGAGAGCAGTGTCATAAAAACCTAAAGAGAAGAGGGTATCCAGGAGAAAGAGGGTGATTGACAGCATCAAAGGCTGCAGAGAGATCAAGAAGGAGGAAGACTGAAAAAAAAAGCCATTCGATTTGGCAATTACATCATTAGTAACTTTGGAGACGGTAGTTTTGGTTGGATGATGAGATTGGAAGCCAAATTATAGACTTAAGAAGAGAGCAGAAGGAAAGGAAGTGGAGACACCTATTATAAACAGCTTTTTCAAGGAGTTTAGCCACAAAAAGGAGGAGAGATATAGAATAATAAATAATGACGGTTTTTTGATGATGGGGAAGATGGTATGTTTGTAGGCAGTTGGGAAGTACCATTAGACAAAAAAGAGAATGAAGATTAGTGAGAGATTAGGGATGATAGAGGGGACAGTTCTCTGGAGATCAGATTAAATGGGATCACTTTTTTCACATAAAGGGATTTGCTTTGGCAAAGAAAACAGTCACATCTTCATATGAGAAACAGGTAAAGGAGGAGATAGTGGCAAAAGGCATCTGAGTGATGTAAAATGAAGAAGAGGGGGAGGAGCAGCTTTGGGCAAATAATCTAAAATTTTTTTTAATAAAATATGAGATTATTCTCACCTGAGTGGGTCAAGGTCAGGAGAGGCATGGAAGTTTAGAGAGGAATCAAAGGTTTGAAAGAGCTATTGTGGTGCGTGGGGTTGTGATTTAATTAGGGAGATGTAAAAGGATTGGTGAGGGCCCAGGTTCAGCTTATTATGTAATGTAAGTTTGTAGCAGACCTCATCAGCACAGTTTCATGATGTTCTCTAACTTTCTTCAGTAGCACATCTGTAGGAGTGAAGGCAGTAAAAGGTGGGAGTGATCCTAGGCCAAGGATTGGCAGGGCAAGATTGTCAGTATTAGGGGGCAGAGGACTCGAGAGGACTGTATAGATTTGAACTAGTTCATCAAGGAGTCAAGGTGGGGAAAGAAGAAAAGTGTGGCGAGTGCAAGGGTGGTGACCTGGTAGAGAACTGAGGTGTCAAGGGGTTGGAGGTCATGGTGTAGGTAAAGAGCAGAGTTCATGATGCAAAGTAGAGACAGTCAGGAAAACAACAGATTGTCATCAGATAAGGGAATTTCAGAGTTCTAGAATGTGAAAGTGGAGTATTTTTGGGTGATGGAAAGAAAGGGTATGAGTATCTTTGTATATGGCTGAGCTGGGGTGAAGAAGTAGGTCATGTGAAATGAGTCAATTGAACTGTGAAGTTAGGATGCTTGAAGGAGTATCAGTATGTATTTTTAAGTCCTCTAGTGTGAGGGCAGGAGTTGGGGGAAGAAAAAAAGACTGTGAATCAGGCACTGAACTTAATGAGGAAAGAAGGAGAGTGACCTGGAAATTAGTGGACAACAGCTACCAGATTTGGGTTGGGTGGTAGAGATGGATTGAGTCATCCTTAAAGGTGGAGAAGTTACTGAGTGATGGTGGTAGAGGGAAGTGGCAGTGGGAAGCAGGGAGTATTCCAACTCCTTCAGGTCGACCAGTGAGTTTGGAGGAATAAGTGAAAGTCCAAACCTTACTGGAAAGAGTAGGAAGGAAGACTTTGTCATAAAAAGGGAACCAGATCTCAGGGAGAACATTAGAATAGAAATGGGAAAGGGAAAGATTTAAGTTTGTTGCTTATGGACCAGGCATTTCAAGGAACACAGTGGAAGGGGCAGGTAACTTTAGGACACTTGGGCGGGAAATAGGTTAAGGGGAAAGAATAAGGTAACAGGGAATAGAGATGGAGAATGTTTGAATGATGCCAAATTCAGTGTCAGAATTGCTGGGATAGGGAGTGTATGACCAAGGGTAAGTTTATTAATCATTGAGAAAAAAGTTTGAAAAATTCCATATACCAAATAATTTGTACTCTCAGAATACCAAGCCACTCTGTGAAGAAGAAACTAATATAACTAAATAATATTGCCTGTGAATTACTAAAAGAAAAATTTTCCTCAAAATGGCTGTTTTGCCCTTATAATGCAGTATCTTCCTGTAAATATATGTGCTAGTGTTCCAGTTAACCCCTATACACACACACACACACACACACACACACCCCTGTGGGCCTAAGCTTTTTAATAATTTTGCTTATCAATATCATAAATTTCTTTTGATAATAAACCAAAGATATGAACTAGATTTTTAAAAAACAGTTTTAATTATCTTCATCTGGGCACCTACTAGGTGCCAGGCCAGTGTATCTTTTCTCAAAATATTTACTGCTAGTTAGAAGCTACAAAATTATATGAATTTTTAAAAGTGGTCCCTTTCCTCAAGGAGGAGAGAAATATTACTAGATATAAGGCATGAAATCATGATTGTTTTTTTTTAAATTTCTAAGAGCTTTTTGTTTTTTTAAGGCTCCATAAATATAAGCTAATGAAAGCTAGATGTAAATCTAATGAAAACAATTCATGGGATAGGCACAATCAGAGTGATACTTCCTTTAGTCCCAAAACTTATTTTTTGGTTTAATCATTTAACTTGCCTGGGAAACTTGTTTAAGATGAAACATTAGATATTAGTCAAATCCCCAGCTTTCACCTGTTTTCCATCTAAGCACTATTCAGATACAAGGAAATGCAAAGATATCCTTAAAACCTGTACCGCAGATGTGTCAAGCTCTCAGCAGTCACCAGCCTGAGTGTGTACCAAACAAGATTAAAATGTAATTAGGTATAGTGGATAGAGCACTGGCTCTGGAGTCAGTAGGACCTGAGTTCAAATCCAGCCTCAGACACATAAAAACTCACTACCTGTATGACTCTGGGCAAGTCACTTAAACCCGATTGCCTCACTAAAAAACAAAACAAAACAAAATGTAATTAGAAAATGTTTAACACAATAAATAAAAATATAATACAATACAGATAATGTTAATTTGTGGTTTTCTCAATATATGCTTGCAAGGATGGTCTGTTTCTATTTAAGTTTGATACCACTGCTGTACAGAATAAGTGGTTCCTACAAATTTGCCCATAGGACCTTTGTAGCTCTCATCTTTTGTTAGGTACGTATTAGATCACACTGGCTAATTATAGTTCATACAACTGAGCCCACCCTGCAAAAATCTAGAAGTTTATAGGTAGAAGGTAAGCTCTCTTTCTTACTTGCCTGTGCCAAATGCTGCTTATAACTTTTTTTCCCTTTCCTTCTATTAGTACTGATTATGAATATCAGTTGACTGTGCGCCCTGACCTCTTCACAAGTAGGCACACCCAGTGGTATTACTTTCAAGTGACCAACACTCAAGCAGGGATACCCTATCGCTTCACCATTGTCAACTTCACAAAGCCGGATAGTCTGTACAGTCGAGGCATGCGCCCACTCTTCTACTCCGAAAAAGAGGCCAAGATGAACAGTATTGGCTGGCAGAGAACAGGAGACCAAATCAAGTACTATAGGAACAATATAGGGCTGGAGGGGCATCAGTTTTTTTCTCTTACATGGACTTTCCAGTTTCCATATGACAAAGATACATGTTACTTTGCTCACTGCTACCCATATACGTATGCCAGCCTGCAAGACTACCTTTTAGGTATCACTAATGACCCACTCAGGTCACAGTATTGTAAAATCCGTGTGCTTTGCCACACACTTGCTAGGAACATGGTATATGTTTTAACAATTACTACTCCTTTGAAGAATACCGAATCAAGAAAGCGTAAGGTGGTGATTTTGACAGCAAGGGTACATCCAGGAGAAACCAACAGTTCTTGGATCATGAAAGGCTTCCTGGATTACATCCTAGGAGATTCAAGTGATGCTCAGCTGCTCCGGGACACTTTTATCTTCAAGGTGATACCTATGCTGAATCCAGATGGTGTGATCGTGGGAAATTATCGATGTTCCTTAGCTGGACAGGATCTAAACCGTTGCTACACATCTGTCCAAAAGGACTCTTATCCTTCTGTCTGGTACACCAGGAATATGATTCATAGGTAAAAATAAGCCTCAGTTTACTTAGCAATTCTAGTAGCCTTCCATACAAGTATTTGTCCCTTTAATTCCACTTAATCGATTCTTAGATTTCTTGAGAGAGTTCACTCATGATTGCTATTCATACTAGTCAAGTTTGGTTTTGGTGGTTTTTTTTTTAAATCAGTACCACCCTTTTTGTCACTGACTACATTACTTCCTAAAATCTCCCTGGCTATAATATTTACTCTAAGGAACTTAAATCCCTTATCTATGAGAAATAATTTCATGCTGTAAGAACAGTATCCGTTTTCATTTCTATCATTCCCCAGATCAATAAAAGAAATCCTAAATAAGAAATACTTCCTAAATAGACAGAAGCCATGCACCCACAGCCTTGGCCTATTTGTAACTGAAACCCTTACTGCAAATTACAAGAATCCCATTTCAGGGAAGTGAATGATGGGAAGGTTCTTTAGAGCCATCAACCAATAAAGTGTGAAAAGGATCTCTCCCTCTCTCATGTTTAATAGTCACAGAAATTCAAAGGATAGAACTGAAAGAAAGATGATTTGCTGTTTCTGGAGAACTAAGAGGAAGAAGTTTAAGTTTGAAATGATAGAAGAATTTAGGTCCCAGATCTCTGGGGAACCTGTTGGATTTCATGAATTCAGAGGTGAAAGTCAAAAGTTCTCAGAAAGGGCTAGGGCATACTTGAATTATACAAGGATACCCATGGCTTTTCTCTATTTTGGAGGAGTGATTATTGGGTGCTATGATCCCATTGTAGTCCCTGCCTTCAAAAGAATTTACACATCTGGAACTCTTCTGTGATTCCCAGTTTTGAACATGATAAATGAAGAGGACACAGCAAAAATGTCTTTATCTCATGCTAGCTATTTAAAGTTTGTTGGCGTTTCTTAGTTTGCTGTGTGAGAAGGTCAAGGTAGGAAATATATTGAAATAACACGGATAACTTTTCAATAGTCTTCACATGAAAATTTTATTTTTCAAACATTTCTATAGGCATGTAAATTGGGAATAAGCATTGATAATAATAATTGATGTGCGAGGAGGGGGAATATGCAAGAATACAGTATTTGGGGTTGGGGGGAAGAATTGGTAAGCGTTTTTATAAGAAAACTTAAAACTATTTCCAGGTGATTAAGATTGTTATGAAATACTGAACTGAAGCAATGCTGCTTCACTTCAAAAGAAACATTACCTCTCTAGCAAATGAATTGAGTGGAGGAAGGGACTTTTAGGTACAACATAAGAAATGAAAATAGTAAGATTTCAGAAGCTTTGTCTTACAGATTCATATCAATATTCAACTTGAAAGTTAGTATGATACTTATTCAAGCTATATTAATAAAATTAATGTCTTAAAACATATAACTATACTTCACACTAATCAAAAGCTATTTCTCATGTCATAGAGTTTGGTCTTTTTAGATCACTAGGAGTTTAGCCACTATTATTAACTAACAAAGTCTAAGCCCTGTCCTCTGTTAACTAACACTTAGTGGCTCTATGCCCATCTCCTACATGGAAACACCTTAGCAGGAGACAGTTTCCAGTTTGGGATTTAAATGTAGTGTTAAGGAGTTTTTAATGGTGTGATCCTCATCATTTGGGGGCTGGGATAATCTCTAAGGCCTATTCTAGTTCTAGATCTATGACTCCCTCATTCTTTGATCTTTACCTTAAAAGTTGCTTTTAAAAAAAGAGTGGTCTAACCATATGCCTGATAGGTGGTTATCTAATCTCCACTGATGGGGAGGCCCTTCCATCTCAAAGCAGTCTATTGTACTTTCAGACAACTCTAATTGATAGAGAAGTTTTCCCTTTATATAGAATTTAAAATCCACCTCTGTGCAACTCGTACCAGCTTCTCCTAATTCTGCTCTTCTGGGGCCAAGAAAAGGAAGTTTAATCTCTCTTTCACATGATAGCTCTTCTTTTCTTCAGACCAAACCTGCCAAGTTCCTGCTGTTAATCCTAGCATGACACTACTAGTTTGGCCCCTTCTCCATCTTGGTTATCCCACACTGGACAAACTCCAGCTTTGTCAATGTCCTTCCTAAAATGATGTACCTGGAACTGAACTGAAAACAATAGTATAGATGCAGTCCAAACACACTTAGTTACACTAGGACCATCACCTCCCTCATTTTGGTTACTGTGTCTATTGATCTAGCCTGGGATTGCATTAGCTTTTTGGCTACCAGATCATGCCATTGATTCATACTGAGTATACAGCCCACTAAAATCGATAGATCTTTTCACATGAACTCTTCCCCATCTTGTAGTTATTCATTTTGTAAACCCTAATGTAGAACTGAGCATTTATTTCTGTCAAATTCCATTTTATTAGATTTGGTCCAGCATTCTAGACTGTCAAAATATTTTTTGGATCCATACTTTATTCTTCCCAGCAAGTCTGATAAATGTATCATTTATGCCTTCATCCAAATCACTGATAAAAATGTTAAAAACCACAGAGACCAAGGAAAGATCCTTGGGCACATTGCTGGGGTTGACATTGATCATTTATTGACTACTTTGGGAGCCATTCATTCAACCAGTTCTGAACCCGTCTAGCACAGATCTTTTCCACAAGGATAGAATGAAACTTTGTTTTCGAATACTTTGCCACAATCCAAGTATTTTATGTCTATGCCATTTAACACTGGCATGACCCTTCTTAATGATGCTATAACAGTGATCCCCACTGTTATACTGGAAAGTGGGCTGAGTTTGGAGCCAGAGTTCATATTCTAGTATTGCTGTTTACTATATTCAGCTAACCTTGTGCAAGTATTTAACTTATCTGGGCCTCAGTTTCCTCAGCTGTTAAATAAAGGAGTTGGACTAGATGATCTCTGTGGTTCCAAATATCAAATGAGTGGCATAGATATTAATAAGATCAGAGGAGGGAGAAATCCCTGGACTGAAGTGATCAGGAAAGATTTATGAGGAAAATAAGAAAATTGGATCTTGAAAGATAGGCATAATGTTCAAATTGATAGAGAAGAGAGGAGAATTAATTCCAGATGAAGATCATAGCATGAGCACAGGCTGTGAGGTTGGAATAAGCAAGATTAGTTTGTGGAAAGCAGTGGACAAGAGTAATGAGAGAAAGGTCCTGTTGGAAAATAGTGAAGTTGGAAAATTTGATTAGAACCAAAATGAGGGAAAGGCTTTGAATGCCCTAATGAAAGAGTTTGGATTCTATGCTTTAGATGACTCTAAAGGTTTTTTGAGACAGAAAGTAGCATGATGAAAATATTTTATTAGCAATACATAGGATGGGCTTCAAATAGGGAGCTGTTAGAGACAGGAAAACCAGAAAGCTCTGAGTTCCTTTTTTGTAGACTTTTTTTTGAAAATCAAGTGTCCCTGATTCAATACACAGAAGAAAGCTGAAGAGGCAGTGCTTTGGCTACCACTTGTCCTTTTTCTTCTTTGTAGATTAATGGAAGATCGGGAAATTCTCCTATATTGTGACCTTCATGGCCACAGTAAGAAAGGGAATATCTTCATGTATGGCTGTGAGGATAGTGATAAAGATAAAGAGTTGTGCTTACAGCAACGAATATTTCCATTTATGCTGAGCAAGAATTGTCCAAACAAAGTAAGTATGTCAGAATTTCTTTACTGTTCCTAATATAAACCATATTGGCCAATGGAATGGATAACCTGATTCAATAGAATATTTTTAAAATATATTAAATACTTTATAAAGCTCAATATTTATTCAAGACTCATAGAGAAGATTTAGGAAGATCCATTATATAGCCAAGGTTTTAAGAATAATAAATTAGAATGGGAGAATAAACCAATCATCATTTTCTCCAAACTTAAAAAGTTTTGAATCCTTTTATTCATTCAACATTTAACTATTTATTAAGCACCTATTCTTGAAGATACAGAGATTAAAATGAAACAATCCCTGCCTTCATGGGATTTACAGCCTCCCTGAGGAGACAACATATACATAGTTAATATAAAATGCATATTAAGTAATTGGGGGAGAGGGGAAGGAAGGTAACAACAGTGAGGATCAGAAGAGGCTTCAAGTAGAAGGTGACACTGGGAATTTTAATAGGTGAAGGTGAGGAGAAAATGCATTCTAAGCATAGCAGACAGCCTGGACAAAGGCACAGAGATGGGAGATGGGAGATGGAACGTCAAGTAAAGAGTGTTTGGCTGGAACAGAGTACATGAGAAGCAATGTGAAATTGCACTAGAAAGATAGGTTGGAGACAGATTGTAAAAGGATTTAAAGTTTAAATCCTCTTTTAAAAAAATAGAAAAGTTTGTATTTTATCCTAGAAGCCATAGAGAGAGTCCCTAAAGCTTTCTGAACAGTGCAGTGATATACCTAGTGCTATCCTTTTAAGATTGCCAATTTGGCAGCTATGTGGAGGGTGGATTGGAAAGAGAAGAGTCTGGAAATAGGAAGACTGATATGAAGGCAGTTGCAGTAGCCCCACTGAGGAATGATGAGGGCCTAATGGTTGAATGACTGAGTGGCTGAATGAGTAAGAAGGGGACAGATATGAGAAATGTGGAAGTTTAAATGCTAAGACTTGCTATCATATTGGATATAGGCAGGAAGAAGGAAGGATATAGGAGGAAGTAAAGGCTGATGCCATGGTTGCTTCACACTTCATACATGAGCATGTAGGCACCTAGTTACTCCCTTGCTGACTCACTAAATTGATTATAAACATTAAATTGTTTTAAATATTGCACATTTATCATGTGGTTATTGTCAAGACTCAAGCAACCACAACAGTAGTAAATGCCCTCAGTAGAAAAAAAGAAAGCAGAAGAGGAGAGAATTAGGGGGAGAGGGTGGGAGAGAGCCAAAAGAGTTCTGTCTGGAACATGTTGAGTTGAAGTTAACCATGGGACATCCAGTTGGAGGTGTCCATTAGGCATATGGTGATTTGGGATTGTTGTTAAGGAGAAAGACTAGGACTGAATGAATATATTCTTCTAGGAGTCATCTACATAAAGATGATGATTGAATCCATGAGATCTTAAGAGATCACCAATAGAAAGGGTGTAAATAGAGAAAATAAGAGAACCTAGAATAGGACCTTATTGAGATGTAAAAATAAAATTAAACATTCCTAAAGAATACCAGTATTTAATCTTCACATGCAAAAAAAAAAAAAAAAACAGAAATCCCAGTGGATTTCTCACTGAAATTCTGAGAAAACTACTTTGCTGAATATGCAAATGAAATATCTTACATATAGATACATAAATATCTACATAGTCAGTTATGCTATAATTTGACACATACATTGCCAAAAAGCACCGAGTTACGCAAAATTGCACGATAAAAACTACAGAGTTTATTGAGGGAAATGGGGATAAGGACACAATGTTCAAAAATTTTGTAAATGACATATCTTTTTTAAAGATAGGAACCTAACAAAAGTGATAGCATTGTTTTATACGTGTTAAATGAATAAAAAATTCATAAATGCCATAATAAATAGTGGTCTCATCCTTGGGGAGTAAGTTGGGCAGGCTACAGGCTTGGCCTTAAGACTCCCACATCACTGGCAGAAAGGGGGAGGGGGTGAGAGGGGAAGGAAGGACCAGATCTTCTCCTCTGCCCACAACTCCTACTGTACCAGAAGCTACACAATAAATATGGCACTTTACCTTGACAAAGAACTGGAGTTTTATTGTAGAAGTGAACATCAGAACAGTCATACCGTGTGAGTTATTGTGAAGTAGTGGTTTTCTCAGTTCTCTTGCTGTATCTCTTGGGAAAATCTGACAAGAGCAAACTCGAAAATCAAATTATGCTCACAATGTTTCCTAATATATTAATTAAGTTGGAGCAGAAATGAGTAATTACATATAGTTCAGACTTCTGAACTCCTAGTTAGACAATTTCCTTAGCCAATCCAGATTAGCAGCTAGCTATTCTGAGATATTTTTTTTAAAGCAATTGGGGTTAAGTGATTTGCCCAGAGTCACACAGCTAGCAAGTGTCAAATGTTTGGTCTGAGGCCAGATTTGAACTCAGGTCCTCCTGACTTCAGGGCTGGTGCTCTATCCATTGCACCACCTAGCTGCCCCATTAGCAGCTATTCTGAAACTCAGAGTCTTAGAGCAGGAGGTCCTAAACTTCCTTGTGTGATGGACCCCAGTCTGGTGAAACTTATAGACCTCTTCTTAAAATATTTTTAAATGCATAAAATAAAATACATTGAATTACAAAGGAAACCAATTATATTGAATATGATCATCAATTTTTTTAGAAGTTCGTAGACCTCAGGTTAGGAGAGTTTTAGAGAGTTTCCTGGAACACTGAGAGGTTAGATGACTTGCCCTGAGTCATACAGATAGTATGTGCCAGGCAGGACATGAACCAAGATCTCTGTGGCTTCAAGGCCAGTTGCCGGTCCACTACAGAATACTGGCTGTCATGTGATGTGTATAAATTTATATATACACATACACATATACATATATGCATATATGCATAAATATACACACATATATACATACACACACATATATGTAATGTTAACCAAAAACAAGGACATGGAATGGCACCTATGTTGTAGTACCTCACAGTTCTCACATGGGCATGTGGGCACTATATATATAAATATATATGCACATATATATAATAGCCTCTGGACTAGCTTACTGTATTGACCATGAGCACTAAAACCTGTTTTACATATGATTTACTTATGATGTGGCTATTGCAAAGATTCAAGAGATCACAAACTTTCTTTAAAACTATTCCTGAAGCTCTAGTGAAAATTACCATTTTATGCAACTTCTTTTGCATTTTTAACTCACTATCCCTAAGAATCATTAGTATGTTATGTGTTTTTTTCCAGTTTTCATTCTCAGCTTGTAAGTTTGATGTTCAGAAGAGCAAAGAAGGAACAGGAAGGGTAGTGATGTGGAAAATGGGAATCCATAACAGCTTTACCATGGAGGCCACTTTCTGTGGCTCCACTCTTGGTAAGGTGGTGTTCCTCACTTAAGGGTCATAAACTACAACATTATTAAAATATGAAAACAAAAGTGAAAGTTAATCTGTCAGTGAATTAATTCCTTCTAAAAATGTATCAAAAATTAGCCAGTCTTATCAATATGATGTACTATAATACAATTGCTATAATGTCCATCCTATAATTACTCATATTGCTAATCATAATATCAGTAGCTGGCATTTGTATAGTGCTTTTTACTTTTCCAAAGTACTTTACATATTTTATTTAATTTGACCCTTATAACAACTCTGGGAGGTACATAGTAATAATATTCTCATTTGATTGAAGAGGAAACTGAGAATAAGGGTTTAGGGACTTGTCCAGGATCATACAGTTAGTAAATATCTAAGGCAGGATTTAAACTATCCACTATGACTTTTATCGCTCATCTCACATAGGCTTATTGGGTTCATAATTTTCTTGAGCTCAAGGAAACAACAGAATAGAGCTTGCTGTTTATAAGACAATAGCAGCATAAAAAGAGAGACCTTATTGGCTTTTACTAAAATGGCAACATTTGAATTTGTTTCTTTAACCTATAAAAACCATGTTCTGTTGTTTTTTGTTTGTTTTTGTTGTTAGGTTTGTTTTGAGGTTTTGTTTGTTTGGTTGGTTGGTTTTTGGACCCATCATGTCATCAGCTCATGGGGCTCTACCTGAGGAATTCACTATACATACCAATGCCTGGGACCATGGGCTCAGTGACTCACCTATATTCACATGGCCACTATGTGGGAGAAACAGGACTTAAACCCACGTCTTCATGACTTGAAGACCAGATTTCTGTCCACAATGCCATATTGCCTCTCCTGTCCTATGTTCTATGGTATCAGTTAAGAAACCTCTGTTAGATAGCATATCATAAAATAGCTTGGTCCATGTTAAGATAAATTTCACATGATCAAGAATATGATAGTGGCCACTCCGATTCTACTCTGATACATATTCTTGTTATGGAGATGATCTGAGACCCCAAAAGTCATGTCATCAGAGTTTAAGCCTAAATAAAGATTTTACCAGGTTGGAAAGGCTTCACTTACGAATCTGTATCTCTGTTGCCAAGCCCCAGGCTCTCAAATTTTGAGAAGCATGTTATCACTTCAATCACAGGAAGATGAACATTTTAGTTATAGCAACTATTCCGAAGTACCTGCTAAGTTATAGGGTGGCTGCAGTCTCGACTTGGTGTAGTGTACAAGAAAAGAAGGGACTTAGACAAAGTATAAGTACACAGGTAATGAGATAAACACGTAGAATATATGTGTGGCAAATGGCTACCTGACACCTGACATCTAGTACTGGGAGCCCTTTCTGCTTTTAAGGGAGTCCTCATTCAGTTTTCCTTAAATGTAGACCTCTGCTGATCCCCATCTGTGACTTTCTAGAGTCCATAGCTGCTACTTCTCTGTACTATTAGGGGCTGTACTCCCTAGAACCATTTGTCCTCAGTGGATCACTCCACTCCTAATGAAGACAATTCCATTACTATAGGTCTCATTCCCCTAAAACTATAACTCACAAGGCCCCACCAATGTTTTTAGTTTTAATAGTCAGGGAACACAATTAGGTTAAAACAAAAACATTTAACAAAATGTCATAGTAAATAAAGCAGCAAAAAATTTCCTCCATAAACTTGAAGGTGTACTCCCCACAAATAAATACACACATCACTGAGAAGTGAGGACATATATAAGGAGCAAAACTGAGGGTCACATGCAAGAAATGCATGTGGCCAGTGCATGTGACCAGAGTATCTCATACCTCTGATTCTACAGGGTCAGTAATGTCTTTGTACTATTTCTGCTGGCTCATAGTATCTTCCTGATGTTTCTTGGCTGGGCTCTAGTCTCCACCAAACTGTTTTCCTGGATGCTGCTTTTCTTGATGTGATGTGATCTCTCTGCCTCCAGGCTTCTAGCTTAGTTGATATATCCTTAGTTATCTCCCGCTTGAGGAAATAACAGATGTAGCCTTGTTTTTTTATCTTAAAGTCCAAAAACTTTTTCCTGCTACTATTTTTTTTATAAAAAGCAGAACCCTTGTCTTGGACCAGAAAAAAGCTTTCCCTAGGGTTTTCTTATTTTCTTCAAAGTCTTGACCAGGGATGGGGAACCTGCGGCCTTGAGGCCACATGTGGCCCTCTAGGTCCTGAAGTGTGGCCCTTTGACTGAATCCAAGCTTCACAGAACAGATTCCTTCTTTCTCTTTTTGGCTAGGCAGTGGGGTTAAGTGACTTGCCCAGGGTCACACAGCTAGGAAGTGTTACGTGTCTGAGGCCAGATTTGAACTCAGGTCCTCCTGAATCCAGGGCCAGTGCTTTATCCACTGTGCCACCTAGCTGCCCCGCCCCCCCCATCTCTTGACCAAAACTCTCATCCCTGTTACAAGATTCTAAGCTCAGACACCAAGCTCTTTAGAACAAAGGGTCCTTCCAGCTAGCTGATGCTCTGTCACTTAATCTTCTCTTTTTCCTTTTTCCTGGGTCAGGGCCCAAGTCTTATTGTTCCTTCCATCAAAATAATAACTTCATCCCTTGATCTAATATTCAAACTTCAGGGAACAAGAAAAAGTCTCAACCTAGCTAGGTGGCTCAAAAAAAAAGAAGATACATTTTCAAAGTAAAATATACACAATCCACATATATATTATCTTAATGTCCTTATAAAGTACTTTGCAAATAAAATGATATAAAATTAGGTTTGTTAATAATGAACAATTTTTCTCATAGAAGCATGTTCATTTTAGTCTTTGCTCAAAAATATCTATTAGGGTTGAGAATAACAATTAGGGACACTGTGTGTTGTGAAAAACAGAAGAACCCTTGTCTTGAACCAGAAAAATGCTTTCCCTAGGGTTTTCTTATTTTCTTCCAAGTCTTGACCAGGGGTGGGGAACCTGTGGCCTCAAGGCCATATGTGGCCTGTTCAGCTATTATATATTCCCAGCTGCCTTCCAACATTGCATGTAGTCAATTGAAGAGAAATAATAGGATATTACACAAGTATTCTGGAAATCTACCTACCTATTCCTTGTGTCAGGGAAAGAAACCAAAGAAAAAGGTTCCTGGGAGGTAATATAATTTATTTATACTATTTTTTCAGCTACTAGATAGGCTTATGAAATTTAATTCGCACAAGTACATAAGCTCTTTGATTTTTTTAGGTAATAGACGAGGTACCCATTTCAACACAAAAGACTTGGAGTCTATGGGATATCATTTTTGTGATTCTCTTTTAGACTATTGTGATCCAGACCAAACAAAGGTAAGAAAAGTTCATGAAAATATGAATCATAACAAAGCTTATTTATTAGAAAGCATGACCTTTTTTATGGCAGTGTATTTCATGTAGTAATCTAAAAGGACTTAGTGGGAGTTTTCTTGTATCTCTAGATGTCAATCTAATAAATTCCATTATTTTTATTAGTAGAGCCCTGGTGTTTTAAGCCATCAGTAAATACAGTACACAGCAATGAGGTCCAAGCATGTACACCACCTGGATAAAGAAGTTCACATAAAAAGTTAGAGGAAAAAGGAAGGAATTACCTTTTGCCATTATGGCTAGGCACAGAATTCTTAAACAAAGAATAGAGATCATCATAAATGACAAAATAAACAAATTTATTACATAAAATTTTGAAAGCTCTTGCATGAAGAAAATCAATGAAGAAAGAATAAGAAAAACTGTCAAGGGGGAATATTTTCATCAGTCATCACTGATTAAAAAAAGTCAGATAAAGAAGACATGTATATTTGACATAAATATGTAATCAGTAACCATTCTCCAAAGTGATAAAAGATTATTAACAATTTTCAAAAAGTATTGCACATGTAAAGCATCATACAAAAATATGTTCCAAGTCCCTAATGGTAAGAGAAATGCACATTAACACAACTCTGAAATGCTACCTCATGTATTACAGTTTAGCAAATATAATTCTTTTTAAAAATAGAAAGTCAGTGCTGGAGGGAATGTAGGAAGATAATCATGCAGTTTCGGTAGAGTTGTAAATTGCTCTAACTGTTCTGGATATCAGTTTGGAATTATGCAAGAAAAGTTATTAGATTGTTTATAACCTCTGGCTCAGTGATCCCATTATTGGACATATACCCTAAGGAGGCCAAAGACAAAAAAAAGGGTGCATATATACACGTACACATATGTATATGTACATATACATATACATGTTTTAAAGCAGCACTCTTTATGGGAGCAAAGAACTGGAAGCAAAATGAATATCCACCAGTTGAAGAATTGCAGAAAAGCTGTAGTGTATATAAATGCAACGGAATATTATTATGCACTAAGAAATGCACTAAGGCAAGTAGGAAGAATTCAGAAGAACTTGGAGAGATTTCTATTAACTGATCCAAAGTGAAATAAGCAGAACCAAAAAAACAATGTACGTATAGTGACTACAACGATGTAAATGAAAATGCAGCTTAAAGGTAGTGAAATTTTGAATAATTAAATTAATAATAGTCCCGGAAATCAAATAATGAAACATCTCCCTCCTCAGGGCAGATTGGCAGGATACTACTTAGAATGTGGTATACATCTTCAGATACAATTTACTATATTGGTGTTTTTGTTTAATTATTTTTTCTATATTGTAAGAGGTGGCTCAATTAGGACCAGGCAGGGGTAGTATTTTAGGGATTATTATGATGTTAAAAAAAGGTATCCATAAAAACTTATCACTTTCTACAACCAAAGAGAGAGCTATAGTGAGAGCCCTGGTGAAATAGTGACTTCTACTATTAACCAAGATTATAATTTTTTTTCTAGTATTATCAATGCATGAAAGAATTAGAAGAATTGGAGATGCAGCAGTCAGGACAAATTCAGACAAAATGCATTATGATTCAGATGCTTCATTCATAGATACTGCATTGGATCTAGATTCTAGGTAAGTTGAGCTTATAGAGATAATTGTGGTAGATTCAGACATTTTTAAGGAATACAGACAAAACAGGGCTTACTGATAGTAAGTAAACAACCAATGGAACATGTACTTATACAAAAAAGATGTCAAGTATGTGTATTCTCTACCTTACACTATCTCTGAGTCCCCACTTCATCCTGGTTTGGGAAGCAAAGCCACAAACTTCCTGTACCACTGATGTAACTTGCTCTACAAAATAATAATGTAATATATGATAATTATTAATATACTAACAAACTCAGAACTTTCTTGGATAATGATTTCAGGGAAAATGAAGTTAATACATAAATCTTCAGTGATACATATTTTTCTTTTTTTACCAAATCAAGATCTTTTTAAGGTTACATTTGTCCATACTGATCTCTCCTATGTGGTATTGCAAGTACCTAATCATAAAAATGATCACTTTACACTTGGCATGTACTTCCAATTGAATTTTCAATCCAGAAAGACTCAGTTCAGGTACCACCTTCTTCATGAAATATTAGAATACGCTATATCTGGAGGGACCTTAGTGAGAATTTCTAATCTCATGTCATCATTTTATAAATGAAGATTGAGGTCTAGACTCAGATGATGTGATTTCCTCAAAACCACACAGATATTAAAGTAATTGGTAGAACTTTGCCACAACTCAGACGAGATCTTGACGTGCTAGAATGTTGTACCATATTTAATAATACAACATTTACTAAAGATCAATATAAAGTCTAATATTTAGGTCCAAGGAAATCAACTTCACAAGGTAATAAAGGGTAGACAATACTTCATCTGAAAAGATTACGATTTACCATAAAATAATTACCATGAATTTAGTGCCAAACTCAAAACTCCTTAACCATAATTTCAAGGAAGATAATTTTTAATAGTTAAATATTTAGTTATTCATACTTTCTGTTTTGATCTAGCCTAACTAAGACTTTTTGTGGTTGTATTTAGCCTGCCCCAGAAGCAGCAGTTTGGCATAATGAATAGAGAACCAGCCTCAAAACTGGGTTTAAGGCTTGCCTCTGACATATAGTGGCTGTGTAACTCTAATCAAGTCACTTAACCTCTCATTACCCCCAGGAAACTCTTTAAAACCATGAGTTACAGAGCTGTTGATTTGCATTGGTAGAAGGAGTTTTCCCATGAGGAGTTCCTCATGGCAGTAAAATTGCAGGTCTCATCCAAGGAAAGTGTCCAGGACTATGGTAGATGATGGTCATACTGTATTATGTATTAGTCACATCTACACTATTGTGTTCAGTTAAGGTAATACAATTTAAGAAGGAAATGATAAATTAAAGATTACCTAAAGATTGTGATAAAGATGGCGAAAGGCCTGGGAACCATGCCATATGAGGATATTATTTGAAGAAATTGGGAAGGGAAGGGAAGACTTAGGATAGCACTTCTTCGAGTATTTGGATGGCTCTCTCATGGAAGAGGGGTTAGACTTGTTTTGTTTGTACCTAGAGTGCAGAATTAAGAGAAATGTTACAAAGAGGCAATTTCGTCTTGAAATAAGAAAAACTTTAGGGGTGGCTAGGTGGTGCAGTGGATAGAGCACTGGCCCTGGAGTCAGGAGGACCTGAGTTTAAATCCAGCCTCAGACACTTGACACTTAACTTACTAGCTGTGTGACTCTGGGCAAGTCACTTAACCCTGACTGTCTCACCAAAAAGAAAAAAACCAAAACTTCTTACCAATTAGAACTGTCAAGAAGCAGAGTGGAATGCCTTGGAAAGTAATGTCTTTCCCTAATGAGTGGTCTTCAGGTAAAGGCTGAATAAATACTTTACAGGTATCAATTCATCCCTGCCACTTCTACTTGTACTGCTGAACAGGGCTAAAGAAAGTCTTACAACTGTGTAACTGTAACTAATACAAATTTATATTACCTAATCTCAACTGAGCCATTGATGCAGCAAGGCCATCCTTTTCATCCTTCCTACTTGATGTAACTCTCCACATTCGCTGTTCCAAACTTTCTTTTCTTTCCTAAAGTTTCCAACAGAACCGATTTCTTATATTCTCTCAGCTCAAGCCCTTTATACTTCATTCAGCCCTGCCCCCAGTTGAAGTTTTCTGCCAAAGATTCCCTCTTCTCCACTCTTCTTCATCTCCCAACCCATCTGATAAAAAGGTGACTATTTTCCTCACCAAGGCTTAATCCTCTTCTTGAACCCTTGGTCCCAGTATTATATCCTTTTCTCTCTGTTTACTTCTCTGCTACCTTAGAGACATGGCCAAGTCTTCCTCATTCTAAAAAAACAAAAAACAAAGAACTAGATACTACTATCCCTGCTATCATCCTATAGTTTCCCTCTCTTAGACATACTCCTGGAAAAAGCCATTAACATTCATTCCCCCAATTTCCTTTCTTTTTTCTTAACCCTTTACAAATCCTGCTAACAGCTTTATAACAACTGAAATGCCCTTTCCAAAGTTACCAAAGATTTTCCTAATCACCAAATCTAAAAGCCTCTCTTTAACCCTCCTTCTCTTTGAGTTCTGTGTTCCATCTGAGGTCATTAACCATACCTTCCTTCTGAATAATTGTCTCTTTTCTGGGTTTTTAGAATGCTGTTCCCACCTACTTTTCCTTCCCTAAACCCACCCATCTTCCAAACTTTGATGTTACTGTCAAAGTCACCACCATCATTCCATTCACCCAGGGTAGCAACCTTCCTTTCATCCTAAGTTTCTCCTTTTCACTCACTCCACAGATCCAGTCAGTTGCCACAGCTTGTCATTTCTGTCTTCACAACACCTATCACATGCATCTCCTCATTTCTGCCTGCAAAGCCACCACCCTAATTAAGGCGCTCATCACTTATCTCCTGGATTACTGCAGCAGAATACTATTTGGTCTCCCGGTCTCAAGTATCTCCCCACACCAAGCCACCCTCCTCACAGCTGCCAAAATGATTTTCCTAAATCACAGGTTTGATTATGTCACCTTCCTACTTACTAAACTCCAATGGCTCCAGTTGCTTCAAGAATTCAATATAAGTTCTCTGAAATTGAAAGCTCTTCACAACCAACCCCATCCTAACTTTTTAGTTTTGATTCCTTTTCTTGCATCATGTGATCCAGATTTGGATCCACTTTGATGTGGATTATTCCACATTCAATACCCCACTGTCTATGTCCATGAATTTATGCTAGCTGGCCTCTATACCTGTAATGTATTCACCCCTCACTTCCACCCCTCAAAATCCCTGGTTTCCTTCAGGATTCAGATCAGGTGCCAACTTCTTTATAAAACTCTTCTTGGCCCTCCCCACTACTAGTACACAACCTCCCCAAACTATAGTCATTTCATATGTATTCTGTATCTAATTCTATGTGTTCGTGGTGTCTCCCCCATGTAAGAAAGTAAAGACTATCACACTTTTGTCTCTGTAAATCTGTTTTAACAGATAATTTTAGTCATATACAGTTTGGATTAGATGGTCTGTGAGGTCCTTTCTAATTCCGGAATTCTCTAAACCAAAATATACTGATTCCTAGTCTTCCTACAGGCACCCAATATGGTCATAGTATTTACTCCCTTCTCTAAGGAGAAGAAGAAGAAGAAGAAGAAGAAGAAGAAGAAGAAGAAGAAGAAGAAGAAGAAGAAGAAGAAGAAGAAGAAGAAGAAGAAGAAGAAGGAGGAGGAGAGGAGAAGAAGGAGAAGGAGAAGGAGAAGGAGAAGGAGAAGAAGAAGAAGAAGAAGAAGAAGAAGAAGGAGGAGGAGAAGAAGGAGAAGGAGAAGAAGAAGAAGAAGAAGATGATGATGATGATGATGATGATGATATTATTAGCAATGTTAATAATACCTTACGTTTGTATAGTGCTTTAAGTTTTCCAAGGTGTTTTTAAATACATTGTCACATTTCATGCTTACGTGAATTCTGTGAAATAAGCTAGTCAAGAATTACTCCATTTCCACAGATGAGGGAATTAACATTCTGAGTTGTTAGGTACCTTGACTATGGCCAGCTAATAATTTTCCAAATCAGTTATGGAGCCCGATCTTCTGCCAGTCCCTCCAGGTTTTTTCCACTCTCCTAGATAGTTCTGCTATCTACTTTAGTGTGAACGATTTTATTTTCATTGCATTATTTTTACCATGGACATATGAAATGAATGATTTACTTTATTTTAAAAAAACATAGGCATCAGTAAACAAGGAAAACATTATTTGAATTAAAGCCTTACTAAAAATAATGTCACTTTGTAAATACCCATTTTCTACATACATAGAACTTTGCTGTCAGGTTATTGCTGCCACTTCTCAGCTGATGTGGGAAAAATCTCAACAAAAAGTCTTGCCATCTAAGCAAAATGTTTTTGCTTTTTTCCTAGTAGTGATGAATCTGACATTTCAGAGACCAGTGAAACTTCAACTTTTCTCAAAGGAACTTCCCAGGTATGATTGATTTATTATTTGGCTACTCTTCTTGTTTCTTTATTTTCTGGTAGTTATCAGTGTTGTAACTTTCAGATTCATTAAGTGTTTTCATCTGTATAATAATTACCCAACAACATTCATTGTTTCCTATCATATTATACCATGACGTTTTAGTCCCATTGATAGAAATATAGAGCTCAGAGAAACCTTGGAGATCATGTATTCCAATTCCCTTATTTTAAAGATGATGATAAAGAAGATTCTGGGAAGATGGCGGAGTAGATCAGATAATTCCAAGCTCTCAAGGTTTTCCCCCACAAAACAGATGAAATAGTGCCTCATGGTGAATATTGAGTGGTAAAAAATAAATGAGAGTAGGAGTAGAACAGGGGTCCTCTTGAGACAATTGGAGAAGATCTGAAGAAAAACCCCAGGATGAGATTTGGCACCTGTGAAGAGTTAACACCTCCAGGCTAGGTTCTCTTAACAACAAGCGGCAAGCCCTGGGGCTAGCTGGGTTGGGAGGCTGCCTCAGCCCCAGTTGCGAGAACTTTTACCCCAGGAATGGTGAGGGGAGTTAGGCATCAGAGTTGGAGAAGATCGAGGGAAACTCTGCTAACAAGGAACACCAGACCTAGCTGTGCTGCAGAAACTCGGCCTAAGGGTGAGAAGGAACCAGCACACACCCAGTGAGTGCACAAGCAGTGGGGTGGGGATACCGCTAGCTATGGGCACTTACAGGAGGCTGGAGGTCTTGGTTTCAGTTCCAGGCCAGAGGGGAGAACTGAAGGAGGATCTGAGGCCAGAGGGACCATCCTCTATATCCCATGATTAAGGTGATTACAAAAACTATGCTACTATAAATAATTTTTTTTTAAAAATGCACAGGCAAAAGAGAAAGAATTCAACCATAGAGAGTTGCTATGGGAATAGAGAAGTCTGGGGTTCATCTTCAGAGGAGGATACTGAAGCAAAGAAACCCTCATCTACCCCAAAGAGTAATGTCAAATTGTCACCTGCCCAAAAAGAATTCATAGAAGAACTTAAAAAAGACTTTAAAATCAAATGAGAAAGATTGAGGAAAAATTTTAAAAATAAGAAGAAAAATCCAAGAAAAACAAGAAGATTATGAAAAGTCAACCAATTAGAAAAGGAGATCTAGAATCTTAAGGAAGAAAATGACTCCTGAAAATCAGAATTGGGCAAAAGAAGTTATAAGAGATCAAGAAATAATAAAACAAAGTATGAAAAAAATGAAAAAATAGAAGAGAATGTGAAATATCTCATAGCAAAAACAATTGACCTGGAGAACAGATGAAGAGAAAATATAAGAATAATCGGACTACCTGAAAGCTGTAGTCAAAAAAAGAATCTTGATAGAATAATAAAAGAAATAATTAAAGAAAATTGTCCTGAAACATAAAAACAAAAGGGGAAAGTAGAAATAGAAAAAATCCACTGATCATCACCTGAAAGAGATCCTACAAGGAAAACCCATGGGAATAGGAATATTATAGTCAAATTCTGAAACTCTTAGCTCAAGGATAAATATTACAAGCAACAAGAAAACAAACAAGCAACAAGAAAAAAAAACAATTTAAATATAACGGTACCACAGTTAGAATCACACAAGACCTAGCAGCAGCAATATTAAAAGACCACAGGTATTGGAACATTATATATTCAAGAATAAAAGAACTGGGATTCTGGTCAAAAATATCATACCCAGCAAAGCTAAGCATAATTATGAATGAAATTTGACTTTAAAAATTATTTTAAAAACTAAAACTGTTTAAGAACAGTTAAAAAGAGTAATTATCTTATACAAATAAGAGGTGAGAGGAAAAACCAACACAGAAGAATTAGATGAGGGAGGAGGGTTGTTAGTTCTGGAAACCTACTTTCATTGGGAATGGGTTCAATAAGGAATAATGCATGTATATATAGAAGAGTATAAAAGTCTTCTAAATTAAGAAAGAAATAAAATGCTAAGGGGATAGGGAGTGGGAGAAGATGAGGGAGGGATCTCTAGAGGGGAGGCTGAGAGAATAGGTTAAAGGGGGCATAGAGAAAGGTTTTTAGGTTAATGGGAATGGAGGATAAGGGAGGGATCTTGGGGGAAGAGGTTAAGGGACAGGAGGGCAAGGTAGCAGGTAGAATTAAAGTAGAGGAGTCAGGAGGATAAGAAATAAGAGTACACACAAACATCAAAACAAAGATCAGGAGTAGAATTTATTTGGGAAAGTGTATGTTTATATATATATATATATATATATATATATATATATGTATGTATATGTGTGTATATGTATGTATATATATATATGTATATTTGTGTATATGTGTGTATATGTATGTATATATCTATATATAAATATATCCATGCTTAATTGTAGTCTTCTTGAGGGGAGGAAGGGGGGAAAAAGAACAAAGTAAAAAGTGCACAGCAGAGAACAAAAGAAAACTTACAAGGAAGCAAAGAAAAGATGAACAGATCTCAACACAACGTGTAGTATTTATTACATAGACTTTCTTGAAATAGAAATTTATTGCTACATATTTTGAATCCTCTGTTACATTCTGCTGTGCATATGACATGGGTTTTTTTCTTTTCTTATTTTGTATTTAAGTTTATATGTTTCTTCTTTTCGTTTTTGTGTATTTAAGTTTTAGTATTTAAGTCTAAAATGAAGATAGAAAAATAAAGATGATGATAATGATAGTTCACATTTATAAAGTACTTTATAGTTTATGAAGTACTTTCCTCACAATACTATTCTGAAGTAGGTAGTACAAGTATTAGCCTCATTTTATATAATGTATAAACTGAGGCTAAGAGAAAGGTTAAATGACTTATATTGCTAGGAACTAGCAGAGCTGGGGCTCAAATTCCGTTCTGATTCCAAGTCTTGTGTTCTTTCCAATAGAGCCATGTGAAGCTAAATGGCTTATAGTAGTAGAACTAAAACTGTCCATCACTTGTGCTTTGATTTAACCTCTTTACCTTTTCCAGAGCACCAAATGATATTTTCTGCCATTGAATCAAAATGACCTCATTTGGCTAAACTGTTTACTTGAAGAATTTGTCTATTTCACCTGGACAAATATATATAAATATAGATAGGTTGAGGCAGTGTGATGTAGTGGATATAGTGATGGTCCTGGGTTCAAATCAAGAAGATCTAGGTTCAAAACCTGCCTCTGACATTTATCAGCTATATGAACCTAGGTAAATCACTTAACTTCTGTAAGACTAGACAACCACGTGGGACTTACTAAGTCATAGACTGGTTACTCTATGTGAATGGCAAATTCTTTGTGTATTTACCTATGCATATACATACAGACCATTTAAGTTATAGGATACATTAAAAAGTGTGTGAAATAGGTTGTTTTTCCTTTATATACTCAGTAATAGACTATGCTTATTCTCTAAGGACCAGCCTGACTAAATATGAAAAGGCTTATTACCAGAAGTTTGGCTACCAGGTGATGAAAAAATTTTGACCAGTACAACCTCTGAAAGGGCCAAAGATTAAAAATGGCTTAGCTCAGTGCACCTCTTCCACTTCCATAGTGTTAGTGGTGTTAGAAGAAGGCAGAGGGTACTAAGAACAACAGTTTGGAGGTTATCTATAGACATTAATTTACCTGTTGCTATTCTTACCATGCAATGTTTACCTAATGACCAATGAGATGAAACACTACTGGAGGAACTCGACCATACCCATACTGATAAATCTAGCTTACAGATTAAAGTAGCATAGCAAAAGACATGAAACAAACTGGGTACCCATTGATTAGGAAATGGTTAAACAGGTTATGGTATAAGAATATAATGGAATGTTATTATACATTAAAATTGATAGTATAACAAATTAAAAGAAACATGGAAAGACTCGTATGAACTGAGGAATGAAGTAAGCAGAATCAGAAAAAGAATGTACACAATGGCTGCAATAATTTAAATGAAAAACTATGCTAAAAGGCATTCTAATTCATACTACTTTCAATGACCAGTCATGCTCACAAAGAACAAACAATGAAATAGATCTCACTAATCTCAGTAGAGTATAGAGGAGTGTTGGTTATTAAGTGCTGTATATGTCATCTATTTTGATCATTTTGTTCATCCATTTGGCTGAGCTGTTTTTCTTTGTTATAAGAGAAAGTTCAAAAACCATCAAACTTTAGTAAAACTTACTAATTAAAACAGAAGACAAATGAATGGCAATGTTTTAAGTTTATAAGCAGTATTACCTTATAAAATAGTGGAATGCATAATTCGATACAAAACAAGATGATAGAAAGTCTGGTGTGAGACCAAAGTCAGATAATTCTGAGTATCTCTAAAGAAAACATACATTAAGAAGACTAGAGAAACTATTTTAAAGACACTCAGGGATCAGTTTTCAAGATCTCTCAAAGAAGACTACAGAAGAATGAAAAAGATCATAAATAGTACTGCTACCCAAAAAATGACAGCTGAGAAGACATAAACAACTATTGATCTATATGTCTACTATCTTATCTCTATGAAATCTTTTTAAAGAATGGTTTAAAGAAAGAAAGGTTATGCAGTGGATAGAGCACTGGCCCTGGAGTCAGGAGGACCTGAATTCAAATGCAACCTCAAACACTTAATGGCTGTGTGACCCTGGGCAAGTCATTTAACCCAGATTGCCTCTTTATTTAAAAAAAATTGGTTTCTTAAACCATTGGTATCAAAGGTGTCCATGGCAAAAACATAAAAAGAAAGGAGATGCACTTTCACAATTAATTTCTGACAGTCATATAACCGAATTAGAGATCTTCAGAACATAGGATCCTACTGAGGCTTATTTGTTGATTTAAAAAAATTCAATTTCATAGAATAAAATGCAGCCTTAAAGGCTCTTTAAGAGTGTTTTAAACAAAGTGTCTTCTATACTTGATGAAATTATATAAAGTTCTATGATTGATATTACAACAGAAACAATTTTGTTCTATTGTTTGGCAAAATATCAAGCAAGTTATGA